GGCTGAATGCTGTGAAAGGGAGCCTGCTCTCGTAATATCCTTTTTGAATGGGCTCTTCTGTTTATAGCTGAGACTTGCTAAAAGGAAATAATGTGCTTAATGATATTACTGATTTTTTTCCTATTATGTACCATCAGAATTTTTAAGTAAACAGGGATAACCATTTGTCAGATGGTGGCAGAATTGTGTTGAATCTTTGTCTGGTTTTTTGAAGTGTTCTTTTTTTCAAAATTATTTTGAATACTCTTATTTCTTACACTTTCTGCTTATTTTTCCTTTTGAGTCTTTTTAAAGCTTCTTGAAGTTTTAGATCTAATTTTGACACTATGGAATGAGGTATTGTTAACTTGATGAGGCAAGTCTTAGTGACTAAAAATTTTAACTGCTTTAATTGGGACAAATCATAGCTGGCAGCTAAGCTCAAAGTTTAATCACGTCCAGCACGTATTAGCTGCTCCAGTCAGAGCTTGATGTGTTAAACAGCTCTGCTGTCTGTGTGTGGGTGTCGTTCTGTGTGTGTAAATGTTCTAAGATGAATTGATCTTTTTAGTGGTTCTTTGATTGAAAACTTTCAAATGTTCTGTTTTTTTCGGACTTTAGATGAAGGAAGAACTAACAAAATTCATGCATGGAGACATTCTATTTAACATAATTTTAGAATCCATGCTGTTTCCATTAGCAGAACTGAACTGTTAAATGGCTTTTTATTATATTCATTCCAGTAAAAATTTTAGGAAGCCTTAACTTGTAAATATTTCTATCTTACCTGAATCATAGGACAAAAATCTTTACCCTTTAAGCTGGATTATATTTTTGAGGAAATTATTCTCCAGATCCTCAGAGTGAGATGTAATCTTAACTTAAAATCATCTCTCCTGAGAATGGGTACCTGAGATGTTCTACTTCGCCCTTTCCAGCTGGCCTTATCCAAAAGACCTTCCTCCCCACTACAAAAGAAAGATGCATCTCTCATTCATCCCATTTCTTCCTGTGGTTCACTGCCCCAGGCAGCCATGGCCCCAAAGGAAGGTAAAATTAAGAGAGAGTCCCATGACAGAAATCCAAAGGTCAGAAATATTGGAGAGGACATGACCTTACTCCATTTGGACAGCACATTTCTGCCTTCTCTGTTAGAATTAGTGTTAGAAAAATGAGGTAATTATCACAGAGATGTGTATCAACACATTTATTTCAATTAAAATGAAGGGTGATTTTGTTTGATAGAAATCTATTTTACTTGATTGGTTTGAACATGAGGACTGGCCAATTAGGTTATATGGTAGGTATTTTTCATAAATTGAATTGGTTTAATCTTTAGTGCCAGACACAGCTAAGGAGAGAGCCAGAAGAAACCATCCAGCATGAATTACAGAGAAACAAAAGGATGGAAGACATAGAAGAGAGAGTAAGAAAGTAAATACCATGGGAAGGTTCAACCCACATCCAAGTGGAGTCTCAGGAGTGGAAAGAGAGAAATGGGGAAGAAGCAATATTTGAAGACATAGTAGCTCAGAATTTTTCAAGATTGATGAGAAGTTTGTTTTGTCAGCATGATTATCTGTTAGTGCTGTAATCTGTATTTTCTAAATAGTTGCTTTTTAAGATGTTTCTTGTTCCTCAAACTGAGAATTCTTAGTATTTATCAAATCTGTAATATCCGTAGCCATTAACCCTTGAAAATTGCCGCCTCTTCACTCTCTATTCTCTTCTTACAAAGTCCCATTAGGTAAATGTCAGATCCTCCCATTCTAAAACATTTTCTCCTATAGCTTCAGAATGAAGCGTTCCCTTTCCACTGAATTCTGCTTAATTTCTTCAAACCTATTCCTCAGGTTTACTGATTCTCTATCCAGACACATCCAATCTGCTAGTTAACCTGTTATTAATTTCATTAACTGCACTTTTCATTTCTAGAAGTTCTGTTTCAAACAATTGACTAATCTTTTTTGATTGTATCTTGGTATTTTTCTAATGTTTTAAATGCCTTATTTCATGCCTATAGTCATTTAAATATTCATATTCCAATATCTGTAGTCCTTGAGTATCTAATCTGACTGTGTTAGATTGGCTTTATTCATGGCCTTTGTCTGTGGGAAATCTTTGCTAGCAAAATCAAACATGATATATCTTTGGAAGAACAACAAAGATTTCCCATAGATGATCTTCCATGCATGAGCTCCCAGCTGGCCTGTAGTTGTGAATTCTCAGAAGAGAGAGTCTTCTGTCTTCTTTGCTACCTCTTCTTTGTCTTCTTCCTCTTTCTTTTAACCATGCAGATAAAGACAGAAAAATTTGCCTACCATCTCCTTTTACTTCTGTATTGTCTCCTTATATCACAGAACAGATTTTATCCCCCTTGTTACTGTCCTTGACCTTTTTTGTATTTGATGAGCTTTAGTGAGATATAATTTATATACAATAAAATTCACCAATTTTAAATGTACAGTTTGATGAGTAACTACTGTCATCATAATGATAATAGAGCGTTTTCATCACCCAAAAGTCCTCTCATGCCCCTTTGCAGTGAGTCTCCTCTTCCCAACTGCTGGTGGCCACTGATCTGTTTTCTCCCATCCAAGTACTAACCAGGCCCGTCCCTGCTTAGCTTCTGAGATGAGATCCAGCACATTCTCATCTCTGGCCTGTATTTATTGCTGTAATATAATCTGAGTGAAAGTAACCTGAAATGGACATGCTAATTATGAGTTTTAATATGGGATGGAAGTTGGATTAAATAAATTAAAGGAGAGCTTCATGAGAAAACGGATAAGCTACCACCAAACACTCACTCCCATCTGCCCCTTATTAATAATCTAACAGAAAGTTTCATTTTCTAACCATGCTATTTATTAGTACTAGGTGACTTCAAGAAAAAGGGGTAATTTTTGATTTCAAACTACCATCTTTTGATATCTTAATTCAAATTTGTGAATTTTAACAGTATTGGTTAGTTATTTGTGTTTCTTGTCATATAATGGAGAAAAATACCAAGAATCTAAGTAATTAGATAAAAGGAGACTTTTCTGAGACAGTTTTTCAGCCCATTAAACGAAAATCTTATGTGTTCAGAACTAACTTCTATTTTGTAAATTGCTACATATCTAGTGAGTCAGGTACCTATTTCATAATACTTTAATTCAGCCATAAATAAGAAAAAGTAAAAAGAAAGTAAGTATTGAAGAATACATTTTGGGAAAGGGGAAAAACTTATAATGGCTATATTAAAACCTGACATGTTTATGTGTTACATGAATTTTGCAAGTAGATAAGTCAAGTGAGGCATTTAGTTGCCTACAGTAAGTTAAGGAATTGTGATATTGACTGCCAAAACAAGTAGGCTTATCAAAGTACAAAGGCTACATTTACTGAAAAGGATTTATTTCAGTTGTGGTTTCCTAAGTAGTGAGAATCTATTTTCATTTAAGCTACAGGAAAATTATAGGCAATACCATGACTCTAAGACTTTTATGGATAACGTCTTTAGAAGGTAATTCAGCCGGGAGTGGTGGCTCACGCCTGTAATCCTAGCACTCTGGGAGGCCGAGGCGGGCGGATCATTTGGGCTCAGGAGTTCGAGACCAGCCTGAGCAAGAGCGAGACCCCATCTCTACAAAAAAAAAAATACAAAGAAATTAATCGGACAACTAAAAATATATAGAAAAAAGTAGCCAGGCATGGTGGCGCATGCCTGTAGTCCCAGCTACTCGGGAGGCTGAGGCGGAAGGATCGCTTGAGCCCAGGAGTTTGAGGTTGCTGTGAGCTAGGCTGACGCCACAACACTCACTCTAGCCCGGGGAACGGAGTGAGACTCTGTCTCAAAAAAAAAAAAAGAAGGTAATTCATATCACAGAACACTATGGGACAAGATATGTGGGGGTTTGTTTCCCACATACCAAGCAATTCTCCAACAGACACCAAATTGTATATATCTAGTAATTCAACACAATTCTGAACTTACCCACCTGGAGGTAGAGTCAGATCCCAGGTTAAGGGCTCAGTTCCACATGACTGCCCCCACCTTCACACGCCAATCGTAAGTGGTAGGTTGTCACCTGTACTTCTGACTGACCAGCTATAAATCGGAATTCCTGCTACCCACTCTTCGGATTTGATTAATTTGCTAGGAAGGCTCACAGAACTTGGGGAAATACGGTTACCAGTTTATTATAAAGGATACATATGAATAGCTAGCTGAAGAGGTGAAGAGGTACATAGGGTGAGATTTGAAAGGGTCCCCAAGTGCAGGAGCTTCTTCCCCTATGGAGTTAGAATGTACCATCCTCCCTGCACATGGATTCAATTGGTTCAAGAGTTGTTCTCTTTTTTGTTTTGTTTTTGAGATGGAATCTTGCTGTGTTGCCTGGGCTAAAGTGCAGTGGCATCATCATAGCTCACAGCAACCTAAAACTCCTAGGCTCAAGTGATCCTCCTGTCTTCGCCTCCTAAGTAGCTGGGACTGCAGGCGTGCACAGCTACGCCCGGCTAATTTTTCTGTTTTTTGTAGAGACAAGGTCTTGCTCTTGCTCAGGCTGGTCTCAAACTCTTGGCCTCAAGCGATCCTCCTGCCTTGGCCACCTCACCCAGCCCTGTTCGAGAGTTTTTATAGAGCTTAATTTTCAACTACCACCACCCCTTTCTTGGAGATTGGTAGATGGGGCTGAAGTTTCCATCCTCTAATTACTTGGTCCTTCTAGCGACTGAAACTATCTAGGGACCTTACCTGAAGTCACCCTCTTTAGCATAAACTCAAGTGTGATGAAAGGGCTTGTTATGAACAAAAGACACTTGTATCGCTTAGGAAGCTCCAAGGGTTTTAGGAGTTCTGTGCAAAAACCAAATATTATAAAAAAAGATGCTCCTATCTCCTTTATCACTCAGGAAATTATAAGGGATTTAGGAGCTCTGTGCCAAGAATTGGAGATGAAGACCAAAAAATATGTATTTATTACTTCACAAAAGGCTTTTTTTGCTAAGATACTATTTAATTTTATATCTTTCAGATATTTGGATTTGAACTGCATTTTGGAATTCATCTACACTTAAAATGCCACCAGCAATTGGAGGTCCAGTTGGATACACACCCCCAGATGGAGGCTGGGGGTGGGCAGTGGTAGTTGGAGCTTTCATTTCCATCGGCTTCTCCTATGCATTTCCCAAATCTATTACTGTCTTCTTCAAAGAGATCGAAGGTATATTCCATGCTACCACCAGCGAAGTGTCATGGATATCCTCCATCATGTTGGCTGTTATGTATGGTGGAGGTAAGTACCCATTAAAGCCTGCTATTTTAATTTTCATTAAGCAGCCAGAATCTCTGTATTATATAACTTTTAAAAAAACTTATTCAGTGAGATGTTTTGAGTGTTATTTCTCAAAGTTTTGTGTTTAGAGTCATATTTTTCATTTTTGATAACAATGGCAACTCTTGTGCTGTTTGTTCCACTATAGTATTCCAAAACAGAGATGAGAAATGTGAGGAGCCCTGATTTGCTTCAACTCAAGTATCATTGAGCTGAAGGAACTCTCATAAAAATAATGTGTGCACAACTAGTTTTTCTTGCTCTCTGCTAGATTCTTGAAATGTAAACATAAATATAGATTTTTAAAAATTGATATTGGAAGAATTAAAACAAATCAGGCTAACTAAATAGCATAGTTCAGAGTCTGAGTTAAAATCTTTTTTTTTTTTTTTTTTTTTTTTTTTTGAGACAGAGTC